AGTGCATACTGCGCTGGTACCTGGCCACCGGCGACGACATCTACGACGTGCCCCACATCCGACACGTGCACGCCAATGGAACCCTGCAGCTGTACCCCTTCTCGCCCTCCGCCTACAACAGCTACATCCACGACAACGACTACTTCTGCACGGCCGAGAACCAAGCCGGCAAGATCCGCAGCCCCAACATCCGCATCAAAGCTGGTGAGTTGGGACTGTGGTCGGGAAGCGGAATGAGCATGGGTTTTCTCACCTTTGTTGTCAAAGTAATCCCATTCACACAAGCACTGTTTTAAAAAGAAAAGTCTCTGTCCAGATGAAAACACAAATGGTTAGGTTGCCCCCACACACACCAGTGGAAGTCTGACCACTCTGCTTCTCATATATAGGCCAATTAAAAGCAATGGTACAGTTGTGTATAAATAAACATATAAAAAGTCCATCAGAATACTTTATTCATCCCCGTCGAGAAATTAGACTTTGGAATAGATGCTCAATTTTGTAATAAAATACAAAAATGGACATTGTACTATAATATATAACAACAATGGATATGTATATTATCCATATGTATATTTGCCATCTACAAATGTTGCCTCGTTTGTGTTGCCTTACAAAAGTGTGCACAGGTGCACAGGTGCACACCCAGATGTTTCAAGTTAAAACCATTTATGCATCAACTCTGACATGTGGGGACTCTGGGATGTCCACCATGGCTTGAGTTTTCCAAAAGATTCCTTTTAGGGATCTTCTATGCTGATTGGGTGTGGACGAAAGACCATTGCGCGTTTTAAAAAAGAAACCTTCACAAAGATACCCATGTACTTGAGGACTAGGCCTAAGTGTGAAGTAAGACCTGTTATTGAGATGAAAAAGTGATGTTGAAGATCACAAGGCCAAATTGAGACACAACATGATGAAGAAGTGAGAAAAACAACATAGTTGTGAAAGCATAAAGTCGAGCAGATGTGATTGGCAGCTTCAAAAGAAAGCCCCGCCCACACGGAGTCACCTGGCCTAAAATAGTGCGTCACCACCTGGACACAGATTGACCCAGAACACAGTCTTCAGAGGAAACATCTGCATCAGATACTACACCAGGCCTCGACTCCGCTCACACCTTTTTGACTGAGCTGGTGATGAACCGCTGAACTTTATACCAACATAACCCCTTCAGCTCCATCTACAGCATGGCACCATCTGTTAGGACGAATCCAGAGCACAACCCCTACAGCACTTAGAGTTAAGTGGCAACTTCGATGTGATTTTAGATGATATAACCACATCAGATCAGGAGGGAGAAAGGGTGACAATAGGTTGGATCACATCACCGCATCATCCTCATTAACACACTTCCACTTTTTAAAAGGTCATTACAAGTAAGTATAACCAGGAACTTGACGGCCACTGGGATATTTTTTTCGAGGAATGTTTTTTAAAGCTTTGAAAGGTGAGAAAAGTAACTCCACACCTAGTGATAAGGAGATGTGTTTTGTGTGAGGGACCCTTTTTACAGCTAATGGAATCTCAATATGTTAACTCGTAATTTTTAAATATACTGTTTTATCATACATAAACATATATCTCAGACATTTGTTTCTGACATAAAAGAGAAAACAATTATTATTTTAAGGTGTCTTTAGAGAACATAAAGAATCAATTAATTAACACTAGCAGCTATAATAGGTAGGCTATTTTTAGACTTTTTGACCAAAAGCTGCCTCTGTTGCCATCATATTCTCTTTTCTGTCCTCCTCCTTCTCCCTGCTCCATCGTTCTTCAAACTGTCCTCTTGTGCCAGACTAAAAATAGCCACAGCACACTTTAATTATCTCTCATTAACCAACCTAATTGGCGCTTTCCGTTGATTGGACCGCGCAAGGCTGCTTTAATAAGCCAGACCTCATCTAGAGTAAAGCGGTACGTCTGGGGGTCTGGGTTCCTGCAGCAGATACTTCAACAAACAGTTCCATCAAACCGCAGCTGGAACAAAAGCTGCAGCTGGATTTTAGTTACACTGCATCTATTGTCCCGCCCCCTCCTCCATCCCATCATTCGCTCAGGCCGGTCGGTCCCTCCCCCCCTTCCCTCCTGCCATCAACATCTGTTTTCATATTCTGCCTCCCAACACCGACCTGAACTAATACTCATATTCATTCTAATACTAATACAAGCGCCAAGTATAGGATTTGAGCCAGGGCCCTGAGCTGCATGCCAGCCGGTTGCTGCCTTCATTCCCACATGACCCAAAAGCCCGGCCTCGGGAGACGAGGGATTAGCATGAACCAAACATCCTGCAGCCAGCGGCCTCTGTCGGGCCGCGGCAGTGCTGGTGCACAGGTTACAGGCCAGACAGGATGCGGCCGCTCTATCTCGGGGTTCAGTCCCGTGGTCGTGGTGTTGAATAATTGACAGGCGTCTCATTTGAATCACCTTCACGGCCAACAATCAATTTTCAAACACATTCATTGGTTGTTTCATTCCATGTTATTCCAGGAGAACCCGACAGATCTGCATTATTCCGCTCATTTGTTCAAAGAAGATGTAAATTTCCGTGCACTTGCATGTGTTTCCCCCTCGCAGCGGGCATGTATGCATGCTGCCATCGTGTCTGTTACCAGGGAAGGGATTCCGAACCAGTTTCTTAGCAACCTTCGGATACGTCCTAGCTTTCATGTGATTTTGCTAATGAGTCCCTGCTCATTCACCAGAGTGTAAAATATTGCATGAACCTGCATAAACTGAGCCCCAAAAAAGCCTTTAGTTTACTTTGAATGTGCGGCTCACTCCGTCGCATCCTTATGAAGTTCTGTGTTAAAAAAACTGACAAAAGAAAGACAATTGTGTTTTTGAGATGACGCCATGCCACAGCTAGGAAATAATTTTCATGATTATCCCGCTTAATGGCGGCTTGCACCATTTATGGTGAGAGCGGAGGCAAAATTTGAAGAGTTCAAACGACGAAGAGTAGGCCAGTAATTTCCAATGAATAAATGTGGAGTACTGTGGTAATTGATGAAAGGGCGTTTTGTCTCTGGAGTGTTAATGTGTTGTTTTTGATCATGTAAACACGAGTAGATTATTATTTCTGTCAAAACAAAATGGCTTACATTGTCGTCATGATCATCCGTCGCCAATATATCTTCTGGATAGGTGATGGAGAATATTTGTGTAGATATCTTCAAATAGTGACAATATGTTAACAAAAATCCTGGCTGGTAAGAATTAACACCATCATTTACACCTAAAATATTGATCTTGAGATACCTGAATGTGATTTGTGTGTCTTCTGTAGTTTTCAGGGAGCCCTACACGGTGCGGGTGGCGGACCAGCGCTCTATGCGGGGAAACGTAGCCGTGTTCAAGTGCCTCATCCCCGTGGCTGTGCAGGAGTACGTCAGCGTCGTGTCCTGGGAAAGGGACACGGTTTCCATCGTACCAGGTAGGTCATCACATGAGTGACTCTGGATTATCCTGGGGGTGGGCAGATTGATTCATTTCATAGGATTTAGGTATGTCTTTATATAATGTGTGTGTGTGGTGTGTGTGTGTGTGTGTGTGTGATTGTGTGGTGTGTGTGTGTGTGGTGTGTGTGTGTGTGTGTGTGTGGGTGTGTGTTGTGTGTGTGTGGGTGTGTGTGTGTGTGTGTGTGTGTGTGTGTGTGTGTGTGTGTGTGTGTGTGTGTGAGCTTTTGTGTGGGCGGATGCACCGCTGTGCTCCATGTTTGACCGAACTCTTAACTCGTGTCTTCTGTCTGCTCACTGTTCTGGATCAATGAACTGGCCTAATCCTCCTACATACATACTCAATAATCCTCTACTACATCACTGCTCCTCCTCCCTCTCCTCCTCCCTCGCTATCCTTCATCTTCCTCCACTTTTCACACACATTTCCCTCTGCTTTACATCTCATCAGATACATTTCTCCCCCTAATGTCACATCCTGCCTTTAATTGTGATTGACACTGCATTAGATCTCTTCTAAGTCGCATGACTATTCCATAGTTTCTCCTCATCATAGCTATTCCTGTCCTCTTCCTGCTTTTCTTAACACCACGTCCTTGAAGAACAGGGCCACAATTATAGAGACATAGGATGTCAATAGGACTGTGCCCCCACATTCATCTTCATTAACCTCATTTGTGTGTGTGTGAGTGTGTGTGTGTGTGTGTGTGTGTGTGTGTGTGTGTGTGTGTGTGTGTGTGTGTTTCAGTCTCATCTGTTTTAGTTGTTTGTGAATCCATTATAAGTGTTTTATAATGTGAGTATATATTGTGTGTAATGTATGTTTGAAATGTTTATTTTCTGCGTAAACTATGCTCACAATAACAATAGGAGAGAGGGATGAGAGGTAGAGGAGGAAATCCACCAAAGGAGGAGAAGCAAGGAGGGTAGTAGGGCAAGAACGGCCTCAGGTCCTGCCAGATGGCGTTTTATATTATATGTATGCAAAACACACCCAGTGTCACACATTCACATGCACCAAGGATGCAGTAGTTTGTTATTGTCAGACATTTTTTCAACCTTTTCAGTTTCACTTACAGAATAGTAGTGTTTTACTGTACTTTTTATCAAATTATGTCTTCAGTTGTCCTGGCAGATCAATAAACACATTTCAACACAAACAACACCAAAACATTGTATCAAATGAATTACATTTCTGATCAATGTATAACATCAATTTTAGTTTTTTTAACACATTCTCCTGTTTTTCCACATACAACTATTTTATTTTAGAAAAACCCAGACACCAACCAGCTACTTTATGTTAAAATGAAAATAGATTTTAGTGTTTGTTTTCTAATGCCTTTTTAAATATACACATATTTTATTTCTTTTTTGATCTGCTGTTTTCACTTTAAACATCAGCAGTAACAGTTCTCTATTCCTGTCACTGTCATGGTTCACAGTGCCCTCCTATACGTTTCCTCAACATAAACACTGCTTTGGATGTGCCAGTCCTGTGTGTGTATATGTATTTTCATGCATGGGGTGTTGCTGTGTGGGCTGTCATGAGGCTGCTGTGTGTAATTAGGGGTATATAGGTCAGTTGATGAGCAGTGAGTGTGAGGATCAGATGTTGAACATGATGAGCTGCTCACTGAACTTTCGTTTCCCTGCGACAGCGGCGCACACAAACGCAACTCGCGATATGGTCATGTTCAACCTTGACCCGCGACCTCCGCGCTAATCAACACAGCAACCTCGTCGTCCTCTCAGCCAATCACTGCAGTCGCTTATCTGCAGCATAACCTCTAAAACACAACACGTCTGCAGAACGGTTCATAATCTGAATAATGTGAGTGCACTCTCACATGGATGCACAGCAACTACACACATACAGTGAATATCAGTGTACAGTGGGTACATTTGGTTATATAAACATTATTGATGCTGATATCCAACTTCTCAGTTAGCCCTCTCTTCGAGTAGCTCAAACATCAGCCGTCAAACTCTCTTTTCTACCTCTACAATCTACTTGGCCAGCAAAGGACTGTCTGGACAGGTCTAATGAAGATGTCAAAATTAAAATGGATTCTTTTGAGTGAGAGGGTGTTGGCTTGCTGTCACTTTTATTTGCTGAAGAAACACAACGGGAAGAGTTGCAGTTTATTTTGAGTGAGTAAATCCATACATGTTATGGTTGTGCACACCTGTCTTTTCTAATCAAAGACTTTCATTCCATCATTTTCCATACATGCTTGTTCCTTTTCCTGGGCTTTTCCCAGGAGAGAGAGACAATCACATTCACTTCACTGACTTGCATGTCTGTCTCTGTGGTGACAAATACTCTGCCTGGGATATTGCCTGGTTTTGTATTGATAAAAAGGGACATTGTCTGCTGAAATCCACTGCAAACAGCAAGTCAAAGCACTCAACCATCACTGAATGAAATGGGATGGTTTCTATTTTCCAGCTGCAAGTGTGTGCACAAAGGATTAGTGCTGGAGATTTCATTAGTTTCCAAACATAGATTTTGTTTACAGACGTGTTTGTTTACATTTCAGGTGCCTTCTATGAGAGGTATTGATGGCTTAATGTCATCTACCTTTTTAGAGGGACATTCAACCCATCACAGTTCCTTCCTCTGTGTCTCCTCACTGATTCCTCACCCTCAGAAATAAAAAATTAAAAGATCAGAAAAGGGCTAGGGGTATAAATCACAAATGTCATCACGATACAAAATAGTTTGACAACGATACAATATTTGACAATATTAAAATATAGCTGCCACAATATGATTTTGTTTTGGTTTAGATCAAGGGTCACCAGTTAGTATCAGAGGATATCTTATGGCCATTTAACAAAATCAATTACAATTAAATCAACACGCAAAACTTGCAACTAAAATATGACTCAACATTTGTATTACTCTGCTTTTCCAGACATTTAAATGAAAGACAACCTATTCCTTTCTCACGTTTAGGCACAATTTGAATATTTAGTAAGAAGATGTGCTTGGATGTAAATGATGACTCAGACTTGCAGTTTCAAAATAAATGCGTCAAGGATTTCGCTTTGCAGATGATAATAGATTGTTGATCTTTAAATCAACGTATCAATCTAAATCTATGTATTGTTACACCCGACTCGTAAAATGTTCTACGCCACCCTCACCACATACCTGTGCCTTTGCATGGAGGAATCGCTGTGTATCAGCAGCCTGATCACATACCAGTCTGAAGGTTGAGTTGATGACATAACATAACGCAGCCATGCCCTCTGAACCCCAACAGGTTCCATTTATTCAAACACACGTCACCCATCTGGAGCCGTGTGTGTGAGTGTGTGTGTGTGTGTGTGTGTGTGTGTGTGTGTGTGTGTGTGTGTATGTGTGTGTGTGTGTGTGTGTGTGTGTTTATATGTGTGTCCCCTTCCCTGTCCCACTTTCCTGTCCAGCCAGGACAGTGAGAGGCTCTAGGAGGGGAGGGGTGCAGGCAGACTGACCTATTTCCCTCTCACTTCCCCGTCCCATGCCATCTCTGTAGTTAAGCTTTGTGTGGGTGTGTGACCCTCATGAGACAATGGGAGCCTGCGAGTCTGAGCAGTGATCTGAAGGAGGAGAGCTGGAGCGCAGACAGAGAGATGGAGGGTCTATGGACAGGAATGAAAAACAACAGTGGGACACGGGGAGGGTTCAGCCTGCAGATCGAAGCGTCAGTCTAACCAGCAGAAAGCTAATGAGAGGCTCCGATGAATAAAGACTGGACCAGCAGATGGCTGCGGCCACATGGTGGTCCATAGAAGATGCCCAACCATGCTCCATCTCATCCACCTGCCACACAGTTTGGCCTTGTGTTTGCACCGTCATTTAATAGATGAAAAGGAGTAATAGAAGGAAACAATAGCAATGTATATAGTCTGCACAATAAATGAACATTATATCAAAATGTCAATATTGGCTAGTGCAATATTCAAACTGCAGGAAGCAAACTATTTGTTAAAAGGAAACCATGTGTTAAGATACAATATTATTGTGGAGCTGAGGAGATATACCAGCCTATAGATCGCCTTAACAAAACATATTTCCAGGTTTTGTACAGATAGTTAAAAAAAAAAAAATCACACCATATGATTTAAATACATTGTCAGTGATAATGACAATTATGATGCAAAAATGATCAATCCCGAAATATCCTGAATCAAATTGATATGCACCTATCTTCTCAATTTCTCCCCATACTGCCACTCCATCTTTTGTTGTTCCCTTGAGGTCAAATTACATAATGCACACGAGTGTTTTGCATGTCTATAGTCCATTAACAGAATCTGGGAGGGAAGCTGTATTCGATCTACTCAGTCTAGTTAAATCCCTGTTGTATTGAAAGTAAGGCCGGGTGAACCTGTGTTTAACCTGTCAGTGTGTAAGTGCTGAGTTATCAGGCCTTATTGTGAACTTGGATCCTAATGGGCGTCACCGGGTGGTGAGGTCACTTACAGGCTACATTACAGATCAATCTTCTGCCCCTAGGGTCCTTGCTGGAAGTCAAGCGGTTCAACAGACACACACGCATACACACAAATGGCTTTAATTGGAAACACCTGGAGAGTTGAGGTTATATATTGTGTAGGATAGGAAAGTTACAATAGCTAAACTGATTAGTTTGCAGTCACTTGAGTTTGAACATGATGAATTGAGTGGTGCGCCATCCCTCCACTTTTGGTTTGAAGGACTTCATCACTGTAGCTACTTTTTTAATTGATTAATCTGTTGATTGTTTTCTTGCTTTGGTATTGTCTAAAAGAAATGTCTGCAAAATGTCTGTTAAAATGACCACATTGCGAAAGGGACTCCAGAGAAAAATATAAAATCATCACAAACCAAAAGACGGAACTAGCCAGAAAAAAATCCAAATATGAGTAATAGATTATCAAAAATAGTTGGCAATCTATTTTCTATTGACTGATTTTAGAGAATATATACTTTAGTTATCCCCGTAAC